GACTGCCGGTAGCGACAGTTCTGCCGCTGTCCGCCGTACCGGGCCCCGCGCGGACCGCCTGCTCCCTGCCGCCGCTCGCTGACAGCGTCCCGGCTGGCCCGAGGTCTCCTCTGGAAGCCCAGCTGCCTTCCCTGCCTCGCCACCTTCTCCCAGCCCAAGGCAGAAATAACCGAGGGCACCTGGCTGCGGAGGACGGGAGAATTTTCCTGTAGGACAGCTGTTTTGGCTTCCTCACCGGAGATGAGTTGCTGACTCAGTTTAATATCTAGTGTCTTCAGAGCCTGCTTCATTGCAACTCTAAGCTGATTGCTTGCTGCCAGTGTTTCTATTATCCGTAGGCTCCAAATCCAGTAAAGTTGCTATCTAAGCTTTCTCACGGATCCTCTTGGTAGCACTATTGCTCGGGAAAACAGAGTTTGGGTCTGCTATAACTTTCTCTCTTTCTTTTCGATGAAGTACTGGCTTGACTGGTGAGGAGACGACACCCTGTATAAGCCCAGGCCTCCCCCAGTTTGGAGGACATGGCATCGGGCATTGGATCTCCGTCACCGTGCTCAGGAGGCAGTGACGATGATGAGATGGAGATCCTGTTGAACAACGCTATCCCCCAGCATCCAGGTATGGCGAGCCTGCAGGGCATGCATGTGAAATGGGGGTAGTGCTGGTCTCGGGCTGAATAAGTGAAATATATGATGTGCTGGGGAATGTCATTTTCTTTTATTATGAGTCGCGCATATGTTTTTGATTTTGATGTCCGAGTCCTAGGGTTACTTTAAAGTGCAAGGCTCATGGCTTTGTATCAGGTGGAGCTGACTTTGTTCCAAGCCGTTGCAGGTTGTGGGGCCATGCTCTGGGGAGGTGTAAGGGGTGGAGGCAGATTGTCCAATTCTGACTGGGTACCAAAATGCCTGAGAGTTTCAGATTTCATGAATGGGGAGGGGGAAGGGGGGGTGGCACATGAAAGGGCAGGGTGCCTGGCTTTCCTTCATCTGGGAACTCAGACCGGCTGACGTCCAGAGCGAACTGCCCTGGGCTGTTGCGTGACCCACTTTCCTTCATCACCACACCCAGTTATTGAGGTTTCTTGTGGCTCTCGCTCCGTGCTGCTTGCTCACCTTTGCTTTTCTTGTAGTCTTTGTACCTTGCCTCTTCCCTCATGTTTGCATCCTCACCATCAACGCAAGACTTGAGTTAGAGCCCTGGGTACTCCTCTGTTTTGGGTTTTTTGTTGTTGTTGCTGCTGCTGTTGTGGTTGACTTGCTCTGTGGACTTATATCCAGATTCTCTGCTTCCTTGTGAAAAGCAACGATGTATAGCCTGATGTGCTGGATTGTAAGAGGAGTTTGGGTTTTCCTGCTAACTGGCGCTGTAACGTTTTATTGTCGTATAAGAGAAATGTTTCAACTGGAGGGGGGGAAATGGTGCTGTGGGCTTTTTGGTTTTTTGCTTGTTTGGCGTTTTTTCTTAAGCTTTGACTCTAGGGTTTTCTGGCACCTCTGAAATATTAGGTAGAAGGGCACTGTCAGTAAGCCTTGTAAGTAAAGTCTTGGTGAAGAAAAGCTGTTAAAATACCTGCAAACTGGAGAGCTTTAGGTAATAAGTTGGAAAGGGTGGGACACTAGAGGCTCTAAATCAGAACCTGGGGGAGAAGAAAAGGTGGGATCCCTGAAGGACCTGGTGTTGCGGGACCATGGGAGTGAAGAGACATCCATTGGTTGGCAATATGGCAGGGGCCAGGTGTGGGAACCCAGGTTGTGAGAGCTCGACCTTTGCCGCTTAACCCCTGGCTGCGGTAGCTCCTCTGACCTGTGGCTTCCTCCACCGTGCCCAGCTCCTGTGGTCAGGAGGCCATTTTCCCTTGGAGGGAGAAGGAGTGACACTGGCTGTGGGCGGTGGGCGGGGCGGTGGGGAGG